TTTGAGAAACGATGTACAAATGCGCTTTACACAATTGATGTGTGTATGGATTGGGATAACAGTTGTATGAGCCCCTAATAAAATGTTAAAAAATAATAATAATAATTTACAGTCAAAACAAAAGTAACACTCAAGGTGTACCATTTAATTATTTAGTTCGGTTTTACTATTATTAGCTATGCTCTTGTGGTTATTTGCATTTACTGTATCTGCAGAGCGAAAATGCATATCATGGTGTGAGTGACGCCATACCATAGTGCCATATCATGCAATGCTGGTACACTCATTTCCCCATTACCCACACACTGATGTCAGGGGGTTACTGGCCATAGTAGAAATACTTGCAGGATGGAAATGGGACATACTGTAAACAAGGCCTTTTCTTTTGGAGTTAGATGTTAGTTCTTTCCATAGATCACATCACATATAGGCTAATGAGTCTCAAACCATTTTCATCTTTTTATGCCTCGTTGGCCTAACACTTCCTGCTGGGAAGTGCTGGGGAGGTGCTGGGGGAGCAGCTGCAATCTGCTATCATTCTCATAGATTCTTGCTACCCTTGAAGAATATTGATGAAGTTTGTTTTTTCACAGGGGGCGGGTAGAAACGAGACACAAGGAAAAATACTTGGCATAATAATTGCTAACACAGAGAATTAAAATAGAGAGATATGAGAGAGTTAATAGGAAAGGTATCTGAAGGGGGCAGCATCTAACTGAAAATGAGATCTGAATAATAATGTGGAGAAGAGTGAGACTAAAAATCAGAAGAAAGAACATTTCAACTAGCAGGGACAGTGGTGCAAGGGTCCTGAAGTTGGAAACGAAACTGCCAAAGTCTTAAAGCCATCACTGTGTCTGAGCTAGAGGAGGCAAGAAGGGCAGTACCAATGGTGTAAAGGGAACACCAGGCCAGGCAAGAAGTTTTATTCTAGACACCATCCAGTCATTGAAGAGGGGTCGTGTATTAGTTTTCTGTTGCTGCCTTACGAATTACAACAAACCTGGCAATTTAAATAACCCACCCGAGTTTGTTGTCGCCCAGTTCTGCAGGTCAGAAATCCAACATCAGGTTCATATCAAGATGTTGGCAAAGCTTCGATCCATCCTAGGGAGAGTCCTGCATTACTGTTTTATATAGTTGACAGAATTCATTTCCTTGTGGCTGTGGCAATTCTTCCTCCTTTTCCTGATTGACTCTCAGTTGAGAGTCAACCAGCTTTTCTTTCCCCACTCCCCGACGCCCCCAGCGGAGAATTTCCACTTTTTAGAGGCCACTAGCATCCTTCTTCCATCTGCAAAGCTGGCCATGGCTGGTTGAGTCCCTCTCAGGATTGGAATCTCTCTCCCGTCTTCTTCCATTGCCTCTTTCTAACTCGGCTGTAAGGACTCAAGTGATTGGATCCCCCCATCTAGGTAATTCAGGGTCATCTTCCTTATCTCTCATGTAGTTTAAAGTCTCTTTTGCTGAATAAGGTAAATACCATCATAGGTTAATGGGCATTAGGGCATAGGTATCTTTGGGCAACATTATTTTGCTTAGTACGGAAGGCCTTATCTCAAGGAAGGTAATGAGAATCAAGTTCAAGTCAGAGCTACTGAGATTCCTTGACATTTTCAGCCAGACTACCACTGTCACTTCCTATGGTCTGCTGAAGGATTAGCACCATCATCTCAGTCAAGAGCAGTGGTTCTCAACCTTCCTAATGCCGCGACCCTTTAATACAGTAGTTCCTCATGTTGTGGTGACCCACAACCACAAAATTATTTTCATTGCTACTTCATAACTGTAATTTTGCTGCTGTTATGAATTATCATGTAAGTAACTGATATGTAGGATGTATTTTCATTGTTACAAATTGAACATACTTAAAGCATAGTGATTAATCACAAAAACAATATGCAATTATATATTGTGAAATATTTATTTCCAATTACAAATCAATGAAATATTGTCTTGAAGCATGGTGTAGCATGGGTAGCAACAGTCTTCATGCTGGATACTCATATGTGGGCGTAACTGCATGTGGGCAGACCCACCTGGAGACGATAGAGGAAAAGTGTCTCGGTTGCTAAAACCATCGGAAATGTGTTTTCCGATGGTATTAGGCGACCCCTCTGAAAAGGGCATTCGACCCCCAAAGGAGTCATGACCCACCTTTGACAACCGCTGGTCAAGAGCACTGTGGATCCTGACAAAAAGTAAATACCACTGATGTTTTTAGAAGCTAGTGTATCATGTTTGAGGCTCCAGCCTCAAGTTGAGTGATTTCATTCACTCACCACTTATAGTAGAGTGTGAGTGATACTTACACATAAGTGTACTTGTGATTGGGCTGTCAGCATTCTCCAGTGATTCAGAATATATATAACATTTAATATAAAATATACCCAGATGAACCTGTTTAGTTGTTTGGGGCTAGTAGCTTAGAAACCATTCTTCCTGACACTGTGTAAATTTGCCTAACAAATGTTATGCTCATTATGTTTATTTTTTTAATTGAGAACTAACTGATGATTGCTTATATTAAGTAATTTTTTTATAAATAAGATTTCTCCCCACACCAACTTTACAATGACCCGATGAGGCAGTACTACAATGAACCTTATTTCACAGATGAAGCTGAAGCATACAAGGTTAATTTGCCCAAGGTCACACAAGAGGAAACTAAGCATTAAAAAGCTTAAATAGATCCTCCCAATCACCAGCTTCCAATCACCAGCGCTGAGGCTCCAGTCAGGGTCGATGGGCCTCAGAGCTCATGCTCTAATTGTTCAGCCTCTCCTGGTTATGGCTGATAGAGGAAGACGTAGGCTCAAGTATCAGAAGCCTCCATTGGTGGATATATCCCTCAATGTCATGGAATGGCTAATGATCCTTTTTTACAAATGTTGAAAACAAACCAGTTGGATTAATTTTACCTCACAAGGGTAACAAGACTAAAATACATTCTACTTCTTACTCCATCTGTTTCAGTCTTGATTTCTTAAAAATTGTTTACTTCCATGAGTGAATTCATGTATGAACTGACTTGTACCTTGATTTCCTGACTCTGTCATTTCACAGCAAGCCTGCATAATCCTAGCCAATTACCTGAGGACTACGCTGAATCCTTACATCATCAACCTCACTTTAGCAGCCAAAATGTGCAGCCAAGTGCTTTGCGAAGGAGCAGGAGTGTGTACCAGGATAGACTGGAATTCAACTGACTACCTTCATCTGAACCCAAAGAACTTTGTTATTCAAACCGGGAACGATGGACAGTTTACAGTAAATGGGAAACCCACCCTAGATGACCTGAAGTATTTTTCTGAAAAATTTGATTGCCGTTGCTATGGAAGTGATGTTTGCAAGTTGAGAGATGTAGAAAATACTAATATAGATGGTATTAAGGTGTGCATTACAAATGGTGTTTGTATAGGCAGTTTGGTGACTAAAAAGTCTACTTATTACCGCTTTAGAAAGAAAGAGAAACCATTGGCTGCACAGTTGCCATGTGCTCCTGGGGCAAATTTCAGTGGGTGTCTGACAGCCAATTGTTCTGAGACAGCTGTCTTGACCAGAACACAAGAAGACTGTCAGGGTCCTGATGGGAAAAACATGTCCCACCTTCAAAATAGGAAAATTGAAACAACCAATTCAAGTTCAAGTTTGGTGCTTGTTCCAGTTCCTATCCACATACTTTCTCTTTTGATATATTTACATTTTTTTGTATTCAAGCATTTAGTTAATGCAGTTTCTTTGTGTCAAGTAATATACACCCATATTATTGAAATCTATATTTGAGAGATAAATAAGTGTACTTGTCGTAGGGTTGTGACTCAAAACTCAGTCAAAAAGGCATTTTGACTTTGAGCAAAGATTTTTTTCCCACGATCAATTAAAACTTGGAATTGTAGTACAGAATTAAATCCTTTATGTCAGCAATTTGATTTTGAAAATTTAAGTAAAGTCTTGATTATTAATTACAACAAACCTGGCAATTTAAATAACCCACC